GCAACCCGACATAGCAGCCATTTGAGCATCTTGTTCCTGCTGTTTTTTTTCTTGTTGAAGTATTTTATCATTTTGGGCCTGCAATTTCTGTTGAATTGCTTCAACTTCTTCAGGAGTAGGACCAGAAGGGCCGATCACCGAGGATGATTCCAGCACTGTAGTTTTAGCCCGACTGCCATGCCCGAACCGGCGGCTCTTGTACTTTGGCGTGGCTTTCAAAAACAGATCATTGTCTTCGACTGCGGATATTTGACTATCCGATTGACTGGCAGCTTGCTCCTTCAGGTCATTGTACTTTCTCTAAAAAAAATTAGAAAACAGTTAATACATTGCATAAAAAAAATTTATAACGGCAACATTAAATAAAAACTACTCACAAGAACTTCTTGAACACGAGGCGGCGGATCACCCGTCTTGGGGACATAGCACTTTTCATAAACTTCAATAGAGAGCGGATCCCGATTCAACTCCACGGCCTTGAATTGAAGAAGATACTAATTAATTACATATTTTAATTTAAAAAAGACCAATACAACTATGACTATTTTTACCAATTTTTCAGCATGTGCATCCACACAACTTCTACCACCTCTGTACTGAGACTGGATAGCAGCAGGCGTATTCCTATTTTTACTTCCAACAGTACTCCTCTTCTTAAACTCGTCACTGGCCCAATATACTGTCATTGTCAGCCAATAATTATCCGCAACCCAATCTGGCTTCAAGGCTGGCTTCACATCGCTTCCTCTATGCTTCGTTAACTTCTTACTCAACCAATGAGAGCCCCGGGACTCAAACAGCTCCCTCATCTTTATGTTGAGCCGAGGATCCCATCGGTATGAGTTCTAATACAATACACACAAATAAAAATTAAAACAAAACATCTTAGATTTTATAGCAAACACCAAAACTTATTAATTCAATTAAATTCAATCAGTTACCGTAAACAAAAACCACCATCGATTTCGCTGCTCTTCCGAAGCATTTTGAAACGAAGTCCAAGGCCCGTGAAAATTTCCCATTATTATCTCCTTAATTCTGGTCAGCACAAATTGCTTGCTGCATGTTCATTTTTACATTATACACACTTATGTTTTCAAATAAATGATTGATCCCTAAAGTCCAGGACATGCTAACACATAAAGATACAAAACATGTTAATTGTAATAAAAATACAAAAGATAAAAAACTGTTTTGAGTTTCAATTGATTTTAAGTTATTTGGTTTATTGGTTTATTTTCATTTTCGATTTAATAGCAAAACATTTATTAGAAAATAGTTTAAATAGTTTAATACACATAGTTTTAAACACATAGTATAAAACAGTAAAATAGTTTAAAATCGTAATTGACAGAACCTATAATAAACTTTAAATTGATACTAATGGTCCATTACATCAGCTACAAGCCTATAATGTATGGACTACGGAGTACTGATACAGAGTATTTCCTATGGACATGAAGGTTAAACTCACAAATCATCATCTTCAACAAAACAGAATTAATAAAGTTTAGGAAAAGCTTTAAAGCTCTAGGTGTATGCCACTATGAAACATGCCTGAAATTGCTCCAACTAATGAGTATCAATTTATCAAATGTTCTTCATTATCTTCTCTTGAAGTTTTGGCTATGTACAATTTAGAGAGTGCTTAGTAACAATCAAATGCCCAATTTTAAATTGTCAGTACACAAATTAACCAAATTTGCTACCTCTTTTGGGTAGATTAACTAAGGTTGACAAATCTGCTTTTAAAAATGTTGATTTACTTTAGCAGTAAGCAATTGTTGACTAAAATACCAGAGTTCATATGACTTAAACAACATCCAATAGCAGAAAATGACTAAAATTGTTACCAACACTTCAGCAGGCATTAATTTGACTAAAATGATTGGCATAATCTCCACAGCTTCAAAGTAAATAGCAGAAACTCTGCAAGTATTACTCAAAGCTCAATATCCAATAGTCCATACACTAAAACAACAAAAAATGGACCTTTTTTAAGCACTTAAGTTATCCATTAAGCAATATAAGTACAGTACACCGAATTCAAAAGTCATTTACCGAACACTAAAGTAGTTGTTTGACATGATCAGTCCATCAAAAAAGCCAAAAAGGCTGATCGGCGGTTTATCAAACGGGCGTATTCTCATCGGGCAAAATCAGAAATAGAGAACATGCCATATCAGTATAAACATTATCATAGTAATGACTTCTTTTGGATATATATGGTGGTTTTTTCAGTTCCATATTATAAGTTTGTTCATTTAAATAAAACTGAGAGCACGAAGAAACTTTAAATCAAATTTTTTGCCTATAGCTTGGGAACCGATTTTTTTTGCTCCTCTGAGAATCATCACTTTCAAACTTATTAGGAAATCAAGTTCAAACTCGTTTAGTGAGCAAAGCCACCTGATATCATCAATTCGACTTTTACTACTCCCTAAATTCAATAATGGAATTACCCAATACTTTAGTTAATATTTTGAAATAAGTATTACCATGTATACTAAAGCTTTTACGTTCTTTCGAACATGAGATAATTATATGCTAAAAATAAGAAAAGATATTGAAATAAACTAGAATGAGCTAGCTCCCTAGCTAACAAGCCAAATACTATCAAACTTGAGTTTGGTTTGTTTATTTTAAAAAGTTCTTTTAATTGAATTGATAACCGAATGGGTCACTAGAAGCTTGATTTATTTGTAGCTCTAGTAAGGGCACCCGGAATGAAGAAACTAGGTAAGAACAGCTATATAAGTTATATGACAGATTAGTTGAAAGAAACATTTGATGAACTCAAATAAACTAGGTAAGAACAACTAAAATATTAACTCGTTTAGGTTACTAACCAAAGCATATCCTTTGGTGTAATCAAGGGGTTGTTCGGGTTAGGCACCGCGGCAGCACGGGAATTGGAACCTTCTTCGCCATTACGAGATAAGGAACCATCGGCATCTCCTCTTCTGTTCGGTGAGGTAACATCTGGAGATGGGCCACGATTGAAAACGCCTTGTGCTGAATGCGAGCCAATCGAGGTCCTAAGTGATTCTTCAGAGCGAGGCCGGCTATGGGAGCTTCCACCTCTTCCACGCCCTCTTCCAAGACCGGAGTTTCTGGCACCGCTAGTCATACTACACCCAACCACACCATGAACAGAAAAGTTAATTCTGAAAATATATAAAATGAGAAGGAAAAAGGTTTTGTTGCTCCCAATTCGCTGAGTTATGTTTCTTAGAGTTCACTGAAAAGATGAAAAGAAAAAAATACAGCAACAGGAGAGAAGATACATGACCTCACGACGGATTCCGGTTGTCGGGATCGAAGATGCTGGACTATTCACGACGCCGGCGGACAGAAGGTATCGAAGGGAGATGGGGCAGCGTTAGGGTTTGAGAGGGGATTTGTGCAGAAACGATAAATTAAGTCTAAGGGTTGGTTTTATATCATTAGTCTTTGGCACCGCATAGCCGTGCCAATAGGGGTGGAAACAGGCCAGGCCAGGCCAGGCTTTCGCCTAAACAGGCCGGGCCTGTTTTATAATATATAGGCCTGAGCCTGGCCTGTTACCTGTTAAAGGCCTGTTTTTTCGGCCTGGGCCTGGCCTGTTCAAAAGCCTGGCCTGGCCTGAAGCCTGTTTACCGGGCCTGTTAAGAAAAAAAATCAAAATTTCAAAAAAATTAAAAATGAAAAGTGTAAAATCCTTTTAATCCGCTATAAAATTTATTTCCCTAAATATTCACTAAAAAGTATAATAATACGTTAGTTTTGGTTTAGATATCTAATAATACATTATTATGGAGTATTATTATGTAGTTTATAAATTTCTATATACTTTAAATCTTGAAAAACTTTGAATTTCAATTACCTTAATAAACTATTAACACACTTTATGTATATTTAAAATAGTATTCTATTCTAATTTATAATACACACTCCCTAAAAATACTATTATACTGATTTTGCTATAGTTGAGTATACCAATATAAATACAATATAAATATAAATAATACAAATAAATATGAATATAACTAGATATATATACATATATATATATATACACATATATAAATAGGCCGGCCTGTTAAGGTAAAAAGGCTTCAGAATTAGGCTAGGCCTGGCCTTTTTAAATAAACGGGCTTTTTAAAAAGCCCAAGCCTGGCTTGATTACTAAACAGGCCAGGCCAGGCCAGGCCAGGCTTTTAACAGGCCAGGCCACAGGCCCCTGACAGGCCGGCTGGCCTATTTCCACCCCTACGTGCCAAGATTAATAAAATAAATGTGTAGCGCAGTACTTAGGCACGGAAGGGACTTGCGAACAAATATTCGGGATTCTTCCAACTTCTTGGGACACACCTGGCACGGATGCTCCATGCCGAAGGAAACGGTCACATTACTTTTACACAAGTTCCAAAACAATTTCCAGCGGCTCGTCAGAATTGTCAGGCTGACACCATTTGGGACAAACCTGGCACAACCGATCCGTGCCAAATTAAAAGTGTCGAACTTTCTACTTCAAATAGTTTGGTTTTTCCTTTGAATATTAAATGAGATTTTTTCAAAATCTTATTAAAATTAAATTGATTTATAAAAATATAATTAGTAGTTACTACAATGTAATGTCGTGGTATTTTATGTTTAAAAATTGAACATAAGTTACTTTGAGAGGTCGTTTGGCAACACTGTTTTTCGGCTTATCAGGCTTATCAGTCAACTTTTTCACCAAACATGTAAAAGTAGAAAAAGTAAGGTTGTTTTTTTGTTTTCGCGCGCTAGTTTGCGTAATAAGCAGAAAAAGTAAGGTTGAAGTTACTTTTCTGGCTTTATTGGCTGAAGTTACCGCAGATGACCATTTTAGCTATTTTTACACATCTTTTTTTCTTTATTTTATTAATAAAATATATTTCTTAAATCAGTAGAATCAACCAATGCAGCCACTTCAGCCGGAACTTCATAAATTTCAGCAGAATCATCCAAAACAACCGATTTTCTTGCTACCAAACGGGCTCTGAGTCCATTACTATTTTATTAACTAGTAATTATGACGAAATTAAGACGAAATAATTTGCATTATTCAATACGAAATACAAAACATTATTCAGGAGAAGCAGAATTCAAAATTGCAAAACAGCTACAAATTACAATTGTTCATTCATCTTCATTTTCAGTATCTGGGTCGGTATTGTCAATGTAGTCATCTTCATCTGTATCTTCCGTCTGGAAGTTCCAATCCTCTTCATATTGACTTCCTTCGTTGGGGTCATCGTTGCCGTCGTTAGGATCAGGTTCTATTTCTGCCCCAGTAAAATCTTCCAAAATAATTTCCTCGTCAATAGTTTGTGGAACTGGAGCTAGAAAAAACTCTTGTTGGTAAATGTCAATATCGACATTCTTATGTATTGCATGAGAAACGACTTTTCTCGGTCTAATTGTGCAAGCGCACACCCAAGGAGATATTCTCTGCTTTGTTGTCGGATATTCTGCGTAATAAACTTGGGCAGCTTGTTGAGCTAAAATGAATGGCTCGTTTTTCTGATATGCTCGCGCATGATTCACATCGCGTAAATTGTGTATGTCGTCTTTTCTCACCCCCATCACGGGATCTACCCAAGTGCATCGGAAAAGTACAATCGATAACTCCTTTTCACCTGCAAATTTCATCTCTAGTATCTCGTCAACATATCCAAAAAAGTCAGTCTCTGAGTTATCGAAACTGCACGTTGGGACACACACTCCACTGTTCATTGTGGGTTTATTGTTTCCATAGGCTCGGGTATGATATTTGTAACCATTGACAAAATAGACAGACCAACACTTCACTAAAGTTTCAGGCCCCCATGCTAGTGATTCCAAAAATGGGTCCATAGTCCCTGTGGCAGCTTCACGCAGTATCTGTGCCAAATGTCAAAATTAGCTTATTTAAAAAAATTACTCGGACAAATAATGTATTTTATGAAGTAATATAATGATGTACCGTCTGCTTGAACCATCTTGCAAAGTCAGTGTCGATGAAATGATCAATGTCCTCATTCCCGTAACCGGAACTGGAAAGATTTTCTCTGAAGTCACTGCAATGTAGAATATTATAAATATATATATATATATATATATATTACTAAATACTAAATGATTAATAAAGTGCTAGTTTATAAAATAGTTACGCACTTGTAATACGGAATAACTTCGGGACAGTTCACCAAAATGTAGGTGTGTGCAATTCGGAACTCATCTCCGACAACATGACGATGTGTTTGTCTGCCATAACCTTTGCCAGGATAGTTGAAAATTGATACCATTTGCTCATACATTCCCTCATCAATGTCATCATTTCTAGCTGGTCTTTTTCGTCTGGTAATCACATCTCTTTCAAAATAGAAAGAAGAGAATGTAGAAACTTCTTCCGTGAGGTATGCTTGGCAGATAGAAGCTCCGACGTGAGCTTTATTTGTCACTTTCTTTTTCAGTTCCCGCAAAAACCTAACAACATTGAACAAATGTAATTATGTCATAATAATATACGTATAAAAATTGGTGAAAATGAACAAATATTTACCTCTCAAAGCTGTACATCCATCTATAAAATGGTGGACCTCCTCTTCTAGCTTCCCATGGAAGATGGATAAGTAGATGCTCCATTCCATCAAAAAAGGATGGAGGAAACACTTTTTCGAGATTACACATTATAGTCGGAACATTGCGGTGAAGGTCCTCAAGAGCTTTTTTGTTAAGTACAGGCGAACATATTAACTGAAAAAGTTGGGAAACATCAACAATACACGCCCATACATTGGCCGGAAGATTTTCCTTCAGAGCAACTGAGAGTAAACGTTGCATGATTACGTGACAATCATGGCTCTTCATATTTTTAATTGACAACTTTTCTAAGTCAACAATTCTCTTGAAGTTGGATGTGTATCCATCTGGAAATCGCAACTGAATAAGCCACTCCAATATTTTTTGCTTCTGTTCAACCGTCACTTGGTAAACAGCTTTCTTGTAGGGGCCTTCATATTCAGGGCCCATAGCTATTTCCGGTCTATCACAATACAAAGCTATATCCCTTCGGGATGATAGACCATCTTTGGTTCTCCCTTTGAAGTTCATGACTGTGTTGAAAATGTTATCAAAAACATTTTTCTCAATATGCATTACATCCAAATTGTGTCTAATGAGTAGATATTTCCAGTATGGTAATTCCCAAAAAATACTTTTTTTGGTCCATTTATGATCAGTCTTATATCCATATGGATACTCAAGAGGTTCATCTATGGCAGAAGGAATGTGCTGAACACGATTCAAAATTTGATATCCTGTCAACCTCGGAGGTGGAGGATCACGCTCAACGCGCCCCTTCAGGAAAGACTTTTTATCCTTTCTGTATGGATGGTTTTGAGGGAGAAACCTGCGGTGACAATCAAAATAAGATGGTTTGCGGCTATTTTTGAGCCAAAATGCATTTGACTTCTCCATACAAACAGGACACCCCATAAGGCCTGCGGTACTCCAACCAGATAGCATTCCATATGCTGGGAAATCACTAATTGTCCATAAAACCACAGCTCTCAAATTAAATATCTGCTCTGTCGTAACATCATATGTAGGAACACCTACATCCCATAGTTGTTTCAACTCCTCAATCAATGGTTGTAGGTACACATCAATTCGTTTCTTAGGATTACCAGGTCCCGGACACATCAACGATAAAAACATAAAATGTTGTTTCATACACATGTCCGGAGGCAGATTATACGGTGTGATGATAATTGGCCAACATGAGAACTGTCCGCCAAATTGACCATATGGGGCAAAACCATCAGCACACAACCCAAGACGAACGTTGCGTGGTTCGAAAGCGAATTCAGGATAACATCGGTCCAAATGCTTCCATGCATCTGAATCAGATGGGTGACACATTAATCCTTCTTCTGTGTCATGCTCGACATGCCACGTCATGTATTTAGCGGTAGCACTTGACGCATACAATCTTTGTAAACGTGGTGCTAAAGGCAAATATATCAATTTGGATGCTGCAGATCGTTTTCGTGGTTTGTGGCTCATTGCTGACATAGGCTTGTACCTATCCTCATTACAAAATTTACAACGGGTCAATCCCTCGTCATTTTTCCAAAATAACATGCATCCTCCGGGGCATGCATGGATTTTAATCATAGGAAGACCCAATTCAGAGACGAATTTTTTCATGTTGTAATACGTGTCGGGAAGAGAATGATCACGTGGTAACATGCTACCAACTGAGTCAAGTATCCTGGACATGCAATTCTCAGACAGATTATATTCGGACTTTATATTCAAAAATTCAGAAACCGCAGATAGCTGCGAATGACCATCACAATCAGAATACAATGGTTGATCCGCACTTTTAAGAACATCTTGAAATCGCGTGCCTAACGCATCAACATCATAAAAATATGAACTAGGTCCCTCACCCGCATTACTGTGTGCGGTGAAATCATTATTCGGATAGGTATCCGGATGGTTATTGGAAAATGCAGAAGAACCAACCAAATCATAAACCATTCTTTGCTCCCATTCCATATCTGCATAATTTCCCCACGCAGCCATCTCATCGGGAACATAGTAAGATGTTCCCACAGGTTGAGGCAAATAACATGTCTCAATCGGTTCTCCTTGAGAAGTCCAATTGTAATAGTTTTCGATAAAACCATGAGTATATAAATCCCAACACACGTCCTCACCAAGCAAGAATTTGTTATTTTTACACTCCTTACACGGACATCTTATCTTATTTCCGTCCATGTACTGTGTTTGTTGTTGTGCCCACTTAACAAATTCAATAACTCCATTCTTAAACTCGTTTGTTAATCCTCTACCATTGTCAACATATTTATTGTACATCCAATTTCTATTTTCTCTATTCATTGTGCCTGAATATAAAAAAAATTAAGGAATTATTTATTTATTGACTAAGCAAGTACATTCAACCAGTAAACCTTCTAATTATAAACCACGAGTATAGTAAGCTCATTCATAATACTCATAATTCAACACATGCATGATATAACGAATATCCGTGCCTATAACGCACTCTTTGGGTAGTGATAATAAAATTACTATTTTAACAACTACGTTTTAAAATTAGTGTGTGAATTAATTTAATGCGTGCTATTATACAATGCTATTACATAGGGGTGGGCACGGTCCGGTCCGGTCCAATATTTGGCCGAACCCGTACCCGTACCGTTACTATTGAAACGGTTCGGTTCAGTTCGGTCTTAAACCTAAACCCGTTCGGTACGGTCCATTTTCAAATGGGACGGTGTCATGCCATACCAATGCCAAATAATGCCACTTTCTCAAAGTGTTTAAGGAAAAATTAAAGTTTAGGTATCTTCCAAAAATCCACACAATTTAACAATTTTCATATTTCATTTAATAGTTTTATTATTCATTTAATTAAGATTTCACTTTTTTTATTATATTCTAATTTGGCCTTTTAGAAAAAAAATACTTCGTGACGGATTTTGCAACTTTAAAGATATTTAAATCTGGTTTCTACATATGTAAATTTTAATTATTAAAAATTGTACGGATTATTAATTATCATTAGGGAGGACTTAACATTAACATTGATAAAAAATGTTGACTTTGCAAATCAATTTGGGACGGATAAGGTAACTAATACAGAGTAAATTAATTTTAGATAAACTATAATAGTACAAATTTTAATAATTTAACTATACTTCGGTCCGGTTCGGTCCGGTACCGGTTCTCATTTTATGAGAACCTGTCATGGCATTGTTTGGAACCGGTACAGTCCAGTTCGGGACAAAAAAATTGAGATCCGTTTCAAACCCCATTTATCGGTCCGGTACCATACCGGTCCAGTTCGGTACCATGCCGGTTCGGTATTTTTGTCTGCCCCTACTATTTTACAATATTAAAAGATAATTAAAAATCAATCTAACTAAAGAATTAGAGCTTAAATAAATTAAAAAATTATAATGAGAAAAAACATACCTACGAACGGACACAAAATATAAATTCTTCCGAGAAAATCCAATGCACAATGTTCACTTCAACATCCACATATAGCATAGGCAACATCTCTTTGCAAATCCATATTCATCATTCTATATCATTAACTATGAAGAAAAATTGAGTGTGAGTACAAAACTAAAAAAGGATGGGTATTTATAAATAATTCTTGGCACGGACATAGGCACGGACTTAGGCACCAAGCTGATTTACCTCCCAACGGCCACTTTATTGGCACGGCATTTTGGCACATCTCCGGCAACGGTAACGTTTTGGCACGATTTTAGGCACGGCATTGGCACCCCTAGACAACGGTTGTATTTTGGCACAATAAATTGGCACGCCCATGGCACGGTCTGGCTAACGGTAATATTTGGGTTCGAACATAGGTACGGATTTGGCACGGCGCAGGCATGACATATGCAAGCCGACGACAACGGTAACATTTTGGCACTACATTTGGCACGGCTATGGCACGGCCATGCTAACGGTAGTATTTAGACCCGGCATAGGAACAGATTTGGCACGACCTTGGGCACGTCCTCAAACGGAAAAATTTTGGCACTGCTAAAGTCGTGCCAAGGTTATAACGGCAACGTTACCGGGTTTCGCTTCCGTTTACTTCGGACGGGATTTGGCACGAACGTTGATCTGCCGACTTTGGCACGGCTCTCGTTGTGCCAAATGTGGAGCCAGTTGAAATGCCCACAATTTTTGGGACGAAGTTGTGCCTATTGTTGTGCCTAACATGGCACGCATATTGGACGTGCCAATCTGCCGTGCCAAAAACGCATTTTTTTGGTAGTGATTAACTAGGTAAGTTTTGCAACTCGATAAGTATCAATTTGACTTAATAGTGCTTCACTAGCTATTATCTACTACGTATGTGATAATACCACAAACCTGATTGATTAGGCTTATAAATAGTCTATACAAGTTAACAAATCAATGCCGAGGAATTTGTCGATTAGATAAATATTGAATTAAAAAAATTCTGTCATTTACTATAATATTGTAACAGATTATCAATAAAAAGATTGGTTTCATGTTCTTAAACAGGTAACCTCGGGGTGAAGAAGTTATTGCTACTCAACCATCACATATTCACTTTTCTTAAAAAATTGAAAAATGAATAAAAAGTACGGTTATGGTAAAACACAAACAGGAAATGAAATTGTTCATTTTTCTTAAAATAATTCAAATTATGTATTATCTATCTTAATATAAAAGCAAAAGAAATTTTTGGAATAGTGTTCCCGCCTGAAAGTGTCAACATCATGCTTTATGTTAATTTTTCATTAAAAATAATTGCAAATAAGGTTTTGTAAGTATTTCAGTTGTACGCGAAAAAAAAAAGGTGAGGGCAAGTTGATTCATGTGAGATCCTATTGGTTAGAAAAGAGGTGGTACTGTGGGAGCAGTTAAATTATTAATAGATGTACTCATTCCTATTGGTTAAAAAGAGAGGTGTCACTGTATATTAAGACTTGAGTGGTTCGTACAGCTCATAGAGATTTAATCCCATTGGTTAAAAAGTAGGTGACCACTGTTCACACAGAGAAAAGGTCTTTCGCATGCCTCTAATTTATTGGATACTTATTTTTAATTGGTTGAAATGGGTGGTGGGAATAGTGAAGCTTAATGATTGTTTCCAATTTTCTAACAAGTTGTAATGGCTTTTCGTCTATAAAAGGAATGTTGATGCAAGTTTTTCAGTCATTCATTTGCATTTCAAAGATCTAATTGCATAAGATCAATATTTCTTTGAAAAGATCAACCTAGGATCACTTGGGCCATAAAAGCCAGGAAAACAAGAGCCTATAGGGAACCTGTGGCTTCCCACCGTGATGGCCAAGGCAACAAGGGTCTACTGGGAACGGAAGAAAGCCATATGTTTTTAGAAAAGTGAAGTCGTTTGTTTTAAAGTACTCTGTAGTATTTATGGGCAATTTTATCAGCCATATGATTATATGGCTTAAATAAATGTAGACACAGCTATAACTACAATTCGGAAATTAGTATCCAAGTTCAAGAGATATACCTGAGATTTGGGTTGCTTGATGCCCTTCATTACCTATTTCTATCATATCTCTATTTCTAGATATTACATCAGAAAATTTACAAACTAGGACATAGATGGATCTATTTAGTAACACATGCTAATGAAATACAAGGACAAAAAAGATTTGATAAAATGATAAATCAACTTCCTGCACAGTACAAAAGTTTTAGCAAGTTAGCAATTTAAAAAAATGTACGGGACAGTATTATTATTAACCACAAGTATCACAATGGAAAAATCTATTTAAAAATAATTCAACAACGTAAAGAGGGTCAAATTTAAATGTCCTGCTACGGTAAATGTTTATCAGTTACCAGAGCTCGCCTATGGTTAAGTGAATTGTAAAGTGTTTTGGTGAGTTTTTAGCAATGATGTAGTCAAGTACTAAGTGAAGTCATTCCAATTGTAAAGTGTTTTGGTGAGTTTTCAGCAATGATGGTTCACTATCCACAATTATCAATGTCATGCCACAGTCAACTTCAACAGAAGTAGAATTGTTCACCATCATCGGCTAAAGATTTCAGTTTGTATTTGTACATACATACACTCATTTATGTGGTCACTAACTGAGAATGGTTGCATGTTTATAGGAGAGTAAAGCTCAAGTATTCTCCTTTTTATTACAAGTTATTTTTAAAAAAATAACTTAAATTTAAATTCCACTACTTTCCTCTCACGGTGAAGTTTGGATACTATCTTTGAAAGATCTTCAAAAATTACAACTATATACTGGACTACTTTGATCTATAACAAAGAAATTAAATGCAGAGTCTCTAGAAATGATAACGGTAACAAAATCCCCCATTCATTAACACAAAATTGAAAGGCATTCCACGTGCTGAAATACATAATCTACTGTTAATCAATAAGAAATAAAAAAATCTCAACAAAGCACTGTGGGAGTTTATTGCATAGTAAATGATTTAATTGACAAGTGCCTGTTGAACTTTCTAGATTCAAATTGGTGTTTACATCATACTCCAGTTCCTACTCTGTATGCATTTGTAACTCCTGGTGCTTCTACGGTGCTTTACAAAAATAATGGGTTTGGGTGCATATGAAATTATCCCAAATCCCAACTACATATACCATCTATTAATTTACTAAATTCATCACTAAATTCTTCATCATTTATGCGGAGAAATTTGTACTTCAATTTTTGGTTAGACATCTAACCTTATAAAGTTGATTTTTTAAGCCAATATTTTTTTTAGAATTTTAAGCCAGCATATTAAAAAATAATTTAAAAAACAACGTACTGAACTTTTATTTCACAAATTGAATAAAATGTATGAGAGCAGAGCCATTATGATAAAACTAAGTTCGGACCCTTATTCGAGAAACATTTAAATACTTATGTAAATCCTTCATAAGCATATTCATAACTCAAGAAAATGCTTTCGAAAAACTCATGAAAACCAAAATATTAGTGTGGATTCAAGAAGTTTCCGTATTTACACGAATTTATGCTTCAGTTTGGTTGGATGTACGGTAGATTCGGCATCTTTGAAGAAGTCTCGCTCATGGTGCATGCGACGGATCAAAGGTAAAGTTACAGATCTGGGTCGGGAAGAACATAAAAATTTTAAATTAGAAGCTAATATGTAATCGGTATTACCTTTATTGAGTTTGCAAATCATTCTTGGGCAAAACCCATCAGGGGAGAGTAAATCTCTAAATCTTTTTTTGAAAGACCATGCGAGATGGGGCTCTTAATATATCTAAAGGAGAGAATAAGTGGGTTGTTTGTAAGCATGTGTGAAGGGAAATCGATAGTGGTGAAGCAGAGATATGAATATACGGAGTATGATATTGTATGGAAGAAAGGATAGAGAAAGGACTGTTAAGGAGTTGAAGTGAGATTGGGGTCAAGGGATGGTTGGAACTCTAACTCACCAACATGCTTAAAGTGTGGTTATTGGGAATGAATATTCAGATGATCTTTTAGTTACCTCATTTTATACGTACTAATACGGAGTATAACTAATTTTTGAATACGGAGTATGTCTAAAATTCAAATCAACCAATACAACAAATTTGAGTATTGTCTAATGGGCTCTTAATTCTAATTTTTGAGTAAGAGAAATTTTATTAAAATTTATTGACTTTGTAGACATGGTCTGTAAAGTAAATTCTACTACCAATCTCATATCACAATCGCACAACCCAATATTTTTTGAATAGTACTACCTCCGTCCCACTATATCTGGCCAATTCGGTTTACGATGCTTGAACGATGATAAAGCAAACAGATCCCTGTCAGCACTCAATATATTTTTAGAAAAAAAATTACATATTGAGAACTTATATTAAAAACTTTACAAAGTCGCAAAAACCAGAATCAAATTTGATAAAAATTGATATATAAAGTAAGACATTAAGAGTGATGTATGTTGACCAAGTGAATAGTGTCTGGACAATCTTGGTGGGGCGGAGGGAGTATAATTTAAGAATAACATAACACATTTTCACATATTTGCACAACCCCCTGATTTGCCCTGTTACATAGGCAATTCGTTTAAAAATGCAATTCGTATAAATTTAGTCATTGTGGCGCATTGGTTTTGTTGTTGAAAATGCCATTTTTAGTCATATTCAACTCTGTGTGGCTAAATTTATCATAACCAATCAACATTATAGTGTGTGATACATACTATAAAAATTTTATATAGTATGTAGTATACCTTTTTTTTTACTCATATTCAAATAAAATTACAAGTTTAGTTTTATATCAAAAAAAAATTTGATTCAAACTAACTACACCTGTGAAATTTCACTAACCTTGCATAGAACGAACGTTCAACACATTTCCTCTAACGTAGGGCTCTTTCCATGATAAATGTATTGTGTAGTTATGTACATTTTTTAGGAAAGAAATCACCAAGCGTGCGATGCACGATCAGTCGATGAGATACAGATGTAATATGACTGTAGATACATTTTTGCGTGCGAGGCTGCTCGGCGCATATTTGAGTTTGAAATTCAATATAAGACCTAAAAAAGTTAGGTCTTATACATATATGCAGTCATTTAAAAAAGTTATATACATATATACCTAAAAAACATTATATGTATGAATACTTATATGAAGATTTTCTCATAAATTTATATTTAAGTATAGTTTAGGAAAGACATAACACATATCTGCACATCCCCTGATTTTCCAGGTTACATCCGCAATTCGTCTAAATAATGCAATTCGTATAGATAAAGACATAACACATTTTCACATATCTGCACCCCCCTGATTTGCCATGTTACATCAGCAATTCGTCTAAATAATGCAATTCGTATACATAAAAACATAACACATTTTCACATATTTGCACACCCCCTGATTTGCCAGGTAACATCAGCAATTCGTATAAATAATGCAATTCGTATAGATAAAGACATAACACATTTTCACATATCTGCACCCCCCGATTTGCCAAGTTACATCAGCAATTCGTATAAATAATGCAATTCATATAGATAAAGACATAACATATTTTCACATATCTGCACACCCCCTAATTTGCCAGGTTACATCAGCAATTCGTTTAAATAATGCAATTCGTATAGATGTAATGTCACCATATTATTTAGTAATTATAAAAATTTATACCTTCAGTTAACATATATAGACCTTTGATTCGAAAATGAAAAAAATCTTCGTCAATAATTTACTTAAATGAAGGATTTTAATAAGGGAAAATTTTCGAATATGAGTAAATAAGTTTGAGAGTTCCAAAATAATTTTGTCATGTTTTTATTGCCAAAATAGGCGTAATTAATGTCAAGCTTGAAAAAAAATGTCATGCTTAAGGTCCAATTTTTGGAATACATAAAACTTTTTTCGTCCTATTTAGTGTAATTTCCATTTTAACAAGGGTTAATGCTAGACAGAAGGTACAAAGAAGTGTTTCATAAAATTTGCCATATAATGTAATTGTTTTCAAATGATGTTTATATTCCGTGTTACTATTTTGTGGGCTATAAAAATTAATGAACTACTCTGTATTTCTGTATTCATTAGTAAATTGTATTTTATATGTTTCATTTACTTCAAGTTTTATTATTGCATGGAGTATAATTCTAAACAATCCAATTAAAATTACAAGTTTGTTTATTTTTTAATTAAGATGTTGGCTAATATTAATTATACCCGCGAAATTTCACCAATCGTTCATCGCACGGGTATTGATGAAGAAGGAACCTCTGACAAAACTCAGAATGTTGTATTCCAAAATTGTTCAACAATATTTAGGGTTACAAGAAATGTATATTTACAATGTTATGATTTATAAGTATTTGTTGGATGTTTTTTGATCTTTTAAGTAATACTTGGTGCTCTCTTTTTAACTATAATACGAAGTATATATTATAAGTGTGCTTTGTTTATTGTTGGAAGTTATATCAATATTCCATGAAGATAAATGCTCTCATCCATTGATATTGTAATTTGAATTAGTAAACACAAATAATTTTGAAGGAAAATTCTCAGACCGTGCATCGCACGGGTGAGTTTACTAGTTGGAGTAACAATGTATTACCTCCTTTCAAAAATACATAGCAAAATCTTAAAAATTAAACCATGGTTTCGATTAGTATAATATTACGAAAAATATAAATTTTATTCTTTTATGAAAGTACTACGGAGTATTTAACAAAGAAAATTTTCCTATCATTCCTATGTGATAAATAATTTCCAATAAATATATACAATTGATAAAAGTTTCAATTTGGCCATGTATTTTCAGACGGAGGTAGTAGAATATATGATACCAAAAATGAATATATTGACATATAAAGGTGTTCATAGTTTGTGTTTTGAAAAGTTTAAACTTTTTAAATCAATAAAAAAGATATATAACTAATCTGTCAGGATTCAAAATTTAATGAACGAAAATAAAAAATACATAGCTTCATTCATCTGAAGTTGTGTACTTGGTATTTCTTATTTTAGAAAAAAAAAATCTTATAAAAGTAAACACTTCTATTTCAATGTGAAGTTTTAATTTCTCATCTCTTAATTAGTAGATGCAAAACATAGTATTCGAATAAAGTTATATTGACTCATCTTTACATATCAACGACTGATGGGTGCTTTCGTTCGATCTGAATGCTGGATCTGTCAATTGAATGTCTCATGTGTTTGTCTCCGTGGCTGTTTCAGAACGGTAAACGTGAAAAATATACTCCAATATTTAAAAAATAATAATACACCACGGAAATCAAATAGGTTGATGAAGTAATCGGATATTTAAAAAAAATACAGAAAAAATGACTTCATTATTTATTCCTTACCGATAAATTAAGAGAATGACACTACATGCGTCCATAACTGAACAGACACCATCATCGTTATTGGATAAGCTAAGGGTTGCAATTGAGGGTTCTCTGGGTTACGATGCAGGGATGGTATGCCGTCATTTGGTCGGTAGCTCACCCGGCTATGACCAAGGGAGTGAGGATTAGCTTTTGCCATATCATGGGTAAAAAAAACAACCCGGCGGCAACTTGGGTATGGGTTCAATTATCCGCCGCCGGTGAGAGTCGAAAATGGACGAGAGAAGATGACGCGTGTGGAATGGCCACACAAACCCTAGGAGCATCGTTGCTATCGTGATGCAAGATGAGTTGGGGCGTTGTACTGATTGATATGCAGTGCTGTGATTTTTTTTTTTTTGAGGAAAGGTGGCTTACATATAACTCAAAACATCTGGATAGTAGGAAAACCGACAAAATAACTTAAGAATACCGCCGTCACGCGAACCAGAGTCGCAGTCAACTACCTCGGTAATATAACTCGTTGATCCAAAAGTGGGCACAACTGAGCCAAGCCAATTGTGCTAAACACACCATGCTGAAAAATAAAAACCATAACAACGAAAACACACCCCGCAGCACCCTCCAATAACTTTTTGACGCCAAGCCTTCCCGGACGAGATTACCCCTCTAAGCTCGTCGCCTCCCCGTTTTTTCCAATGTCCAGCACCATCTCTGCTGAATCCTGTTCTTGAGTTATCCCTACTTCCCAAGTGCGCCTACATTTCTCACCTGAGTATTCTTCGCTTTGTTTTAGAACCTGATAAGTCCGTATTTAGACACGCATTTGATGCGTGTTCGGGTCAGATTTTGATGATTTTCCTGGCTTTAAGGCGTTGCAAGTCTCAATTTTGGCTCAAGTTGTGTTTAGCAGGCGTTGGATCGAGTTTCATTGCATTTGAAGTTGATTTGAAGAAGTTAGAGTCCGGCAATCGGCGCTTGAGAGGCATTCGGGAAGGATTTGAAGGCATTCGAGAAAGATTTGGAAGATTTGGAGGCCACCGGGAGATTCACGACGAAATTCTGGTGAAGAAAGAGCATTTGGATCGACCTCGTAGGCATTCGGGAGCATTCGGAACAAGAAACGAAGAAAAACGATGAAGAAAAGGTCAGACACGACCGTGCCTAGGGCAGGCACGATCGTGCCTGCATTCAGGATGAAACGCGGAGACACTGCCAGCCAGACACGATCGTGTCCGGGGCAGGCACGATCGTGTCTGCATCCGAAGCGCGCGTTTGTTCCGCAGGCACGGTCGCAGGCACGATCGTGCCTGGCACCGTGCCTGGCCGCGATTTGTCCGAATTCGACCCGAATTCGTTGTTTTCTATAAATAAGGCCTCCATACCCATATTTGGGGTTACGAACTTTGGAGAGAGGCCTAGTGACGAGTTTTACCTGCGTTTTTACTTTGTTTAATCCAAGAACCTGGGATTCTTTGTAAGTTCAATTCTTTAATTAATGACAATTATTTCTATTCATCCCAATTCTTTTGATTCGTCAATTATGAGGCGTGAGTAGTTTAATTAGGGATTTGGGATTGATGAAGGGGTTAATCATGATTGATGAATAGATTC